GCCGGCCCGGAGGCGCTGCGCTATTACCGGAGGAAGGTGGCCCGCTGGAACAGGTGAGCCGCGCCCGCGCCCATCTCGGGGCGAGGAGAAGTTTGCAGGCAGTAGCGCGCCCGGAGATGCTCCCAGACCCGCCCCCTGAGTCCCCGGGGTTCACCCTGGGCCCCTTCTGTTCCTGGGCCATCTCCTCGCTCTTTCTCCCGCTCATGATGTGGAAAGCCGCTGTGGGATCTCGGTTTTCCAGAATGAAGTTTCCAAACAGAGCAACTCGAGCGCTTCTCCGCACCCAGCACTTAGCTCTAGACCTGGGCACCTTCCAGAAACCAGGGCTTCTCCCCGAAACCCCGCTCTCCCCTCTTGTTTATTCCCCTGCCCAGAGTCAGAGATTAGGAGAGGTCAGTAGGCCAGAAAGTCAGTTTCCCCAAGTGGTCGCCATTCTGTTCAGTTTAAAGCGTGGCTTGCCCCTTTCTCCTGAGTGTTATAACCTGCAAGCAGTTTTATTTTTGTGGGGATTTGGCTAACTTAGAGCTGAGGCTCCATGCTTTCATAGACTACCTGGGAATTTTTTACATTCAAGGCTAAATATAGAGGGGGAAATGCCAAACATATGTAGGATAGTATCAAGAAGGATTTGTGTGTGTGTGTGTGTGTGTGTGTGTGTGTGTGTGTGTGTGTGTGTGAAGGGGTGGGGAAGGATGTTGGAGAAGCTGGGGTGGTCAGTTCTGAGACCCCCAGCTGATGACAGAGGCCTCAGAGGAGTTAGGACTCTGGTTGAATACGGACTGGTCTGAGGATAACTCAGCTCACTTTTGGACACATTCGTCACTTTTCTCAATACAAGAGATTTCCAAACGAGCCCTCCTCGCTAGTTTTATGGTCCCCAGTTTTATGGTGCCCAGAGGATGGGCAAACACAAGTCTCTGGAAAGTCAGTGCTTGTCCAAGTTAAAACTGTTCGCTCATCGTTCTATAGCGCTGAGAGTGGCCTGGGGGTACAGGGGGCCTTTGGAAAGTAAAAAGAGGAAAAAATGAGAGTTATTGGCTGAAGTCGCTACAATGCGTTTCAATTGCAACTCTATGGCTGATAATTTTATATTAGAAAGTGGTTCCCGAGTCTCTTGCTAATTGAATGCAATAAAAAGGCAGTTTGAGATTGCTTCTCAGACACTGTCATTTTCAATATTACCTTTATTTCATCAACCTTTATTTCGATATTACCTTTATTTCATCAACCTGTGAGGATCGGTGAAGGAGGAAATTTTGCCCTTGGAAAGTGATCGACACGCCAGTTGAGGATTTGAGGGGATATGCGGGAGACAACGTTGTGTCACTGTTGATCAGTATCCACTTATTCACACGGCTGTGGCCTTAAATTCTGCATGTTACTCTGGTCCTTAAGGAGAGGGGGAGCGGTATTTTGGCAGAAAAGCAAGACTCTTTCTCACCAATCTGTCCTACAGACGATTTTGAGCTTGACTTCTGTGTCATTACGTGCCAGAAAACCTCGTTTACTGCTGAGGAATGATCTTGGCCGTTTAACCATGGATGGGTGGGGGCTGGGCCCTTACTGTACACGCAGGTAACAGGATGGTTTTGTGTGGTCGGCTGGATGTGACAGTTGTGATACTGACTCATTAGTGAAGTGAAAGTCGCTCAGTCGTGTCTGACTCTTTGTGACTGTAAAGTCCATGGAATTCTCCAGGCCGGAATACTGCAGGGGGTAGCCTATCCCTTCTCCAAGGGATCTTCCCAACCCAGGAATCGAACTGGGATCTCCTGCATTGCAGGCAGATTCTTTACCAGCTGAGCTGCCAGGGAAGCCCATTACTTCCGGTTAATCGATGCGACCTCAGATGAGGTGTGTGGACTGTAACAGATGGGGGAGCTGTTCCTACAAGTGCTGAAACTGGACCCTAAAGGCAGAGAAGCTTCACCCAGAGTGCGTGGTAAGTGTCCAGGCAAGGATGTTAATAAGCTGATTCCGGCTTCTGTGGTGTGCGTCAGGGCTTCCGTGGTGGCTCAGCTGGTAATGAATCCACCTGCAAGGCACAGACCCTTGTTCGATCCCTGCGTTAGGAAGATCCCTGGGAGAAGGGAACAGC